CCTCAGACCCCATGGAGCCCATGTCCCCCCTCAGACCCAAAGTGAGGCCAGACACCCCCTAAAACATCCTATGGGGCCCATGTCCCCCTTTAGAACCCCAGTGGGGCCCATGGCCTCCCTCAGACTCCCTATGGGGGCCCATGTCCCCCTGCAGACCTCTTACGGGGTCCACATCCCCCCTCAGCCCCCCATGGGGCCCATGTCTACCTGCAGACCCTCAATGGGGCCCATGTTCCCCCTCAGACCCTCAATGGAGCCATACAACCCCTTAAACCCCCTATGGGGCCCATATCCTCCCTTGGACCCCCTGTGGTGCCACACTCCCCCCTCAGCTTCCCATGGGGCCCACGTTCCCCCTCAGGCCCCCTAACCTTTACTCCTGGGACCACTGTCTGTCATGGACCTGCCACCCCAGGGATATGGGGATGTGGAGATTTTGGGGACTTGGAGGTGGGTTAGGGGGACAGAGTTTGGTTATGGGGACCTGGGGTTTATGGGGATAGGGTGGTGGGTTATGGGGATGTGGGGGTTATGGGGATAGGGTGGTGGGTTATGGGGATAGGGTGGTGGGTTATGGTGATGGGGGCGTTATGGGGACTTGGAGGTGGGTTTTGGGCTTGTGGGGTTATGGAGACATGGGGGTTATGGGGCAAATCGTGGTAGACAGGCGCCTCGCTGTCTCCTGCAGGATGAAGGAGTGGTGGGTGCAGGTGGGGCTGCTGAGCGTGCCCCTCCTCGCCGTCTACCTGCACATCCCGCCCCCCAAACTCTCCCCTGCTCTCCTCTCCTGGAGGTCCTCGGGAGGCTACTTCACCTACAAGGACCAGAACATCTTCTACAGAGGTGACGGGGCCACGCTGAACCCTGGGGTCACCTCATCTGTCCCAATTGCTCCCCTTGGGGCCAGGCAGGGTGATGGCAAATCCCTCCCAAAACTTACTGGCTTTAAGGGGAGCCGCTGTGTGGATCCAGGCGCAGCGTGGCTGTTCGTTATCGAAACCTTTTAATTGGGTGAAGCCTTGAAGGTTGGTTCTTGTGCAGCAGCCAACCTTGGTGTTGGCAGGGAAGGATCTCAGGAACCTCTGATGGGTCACAGCAAGGAAAAGATACCAAAAAAACTGCTGTGGTGTGAGTCAAACCCACGCTTGGTTTTGAGGGAGCAGGGGGAGAGGTAACCCTAGTGCTGCTGGTTGGGTTCCCAGTGGGGCAAAATGGCAATGGGGAGAAAAACAGGGGGGGAAAGCAGACCCTAAAGCACCTCGTTCCCTTCTCAGATTCAACCGGTGCCGTCGGCAGCTCCGACATCGTCGTCCTCCTGCACGGCTTCCCGACCTCCAGCTACGACTGGTACAAGGTGAGGGGAGCGAATTTTGGATGCTGACCCCCAGGGGATGAGCAGATGGACACGGGTGGTGGCTCAGCCTGGAATGGGTGATGCTCCTGAGGATTTTCTGCTGGGGGTCCCATCACGCTCCAGGATATCAGCCCTGTTCCTCTCCCAGTGCCTTGCACAGGAGCCGAGCTCTTTTCACACAGAATCCCAGAATATGAGGGGTTGGAAGGGACCTGGAAAGCTCCCCCAGTGCAACCCCTGCCAGAGCAGGATCACCAGAGCAGTCACACAGGAACACCTCAGGGCTTTGGGGGTCTCCACACAAGGAGACTCCACAACCTCTCTGGGCAGCCTGGGCCATGCTCTGCACCCTCACACTGACAAAGTTTGGCCTCATCTTCAGCTTGAACCTCCTGTGCTCCAGCTTGGGACCATTGCCCCTTGTCCTGGCATTGGACATCCCAGAGCAGAGCCTGGCTCCTTCCTCCTGACACTGCCCTTTCCAAATGGATCCCCAGGAATGAGGGCACCCCTCAGGCTCCTCTGCTCCAAGCTCAAGAGCCCCAGCTCCCTCAGCCGCTCCTCAGCAGGAGATGCTCCACTCCCTCCAGCATCTTTGTGGCCCTGCTGGACTCTTTCAAGCAGTTCCTGTCCTTCTTGACCTGAGGGCCCAGCACTGGACACAAGATTGCAGCTGTGGTGTGAGCAGGGCAGAGCAGAGGGGCAGGAGAACCTCTGTGCCCTACAACCACCCCTTCTCATGCACCCCAGGATGGCGTTGGCCTTCTTGGCTGCAAGGGCACATTACCCTTTCCCACACTTCAGCCCAAACCAGGAGGAAAAGACCCACAACTATTTATTGTGGGGTTTTTGGGGTGGATTATCTTGCTGTCTATTGGGAAATTTCAACCTCCTGTAGTTTTCTTGGAGCTGTCTGGGGGAGTGGAGAGGATTGTGGCTCTCCATGGCTGCAGACTTTTCCTCTCTCTGCTCCCATCAGCCGGTTTTTTTTAATGCATTTCTCTTCCAGATCTGGGAAGGGCTGACCCAGCGGTTTCACCGGGTGATTGCGCTGGATTTTGTAGGATTCGGTTTCAGCGACAAGCCTGTAAGTAACCTGTGAGGAGGATTTTTCACCCAGGGGTTCTTCTACCGTGCCAGCATCCCCGGAAAATTGCTGTTTGCAGCCCATTTTCTCCTCCCATTTACACCTGGAAAAGGAATAAGACATTACAATAGCAGAAGGGGCATAGTGGCTGTGTCACCGTCTTGACTTTATTTGGGTCTGACGTGACTCCAAAGCACATCTTGACCCCTTTGGGGCATGGGCAGGGCTCCATGGGCTTGTGAATGCAGCTGCTGGCCTAGGACATCCCGACTGCTCTGCTCGGGGTCACAAACCACTGGTCTGCACCCCATATTCCTCCATTTGGGTGTTTATTCTGGAGTCTGTGGGCTCATGGTGGATCAGGCTCTCACTGCAGCTCCTCTCCCGCTTTGCTTTGCAGAGACCCCACCACTACTCCATCTTCGAGCAAGCCAGCATCGTCGAGGGGCTGGTGCGTCACCTCGGCCTCCGCCACCAGAGGATTAACCTCCTGTCCCACGATTACGGCGACACGGTCGCACAGGAGCTGCTCCACAGGTCACTGCAACCCCTGATGCTCTACCTGCTCTTTGTTGTCCCCATCAAAGATGATTTCCAGCAGATAAGTGGAAGGACATGACACAGAACCCCCTTTTTCCCTGTACCTACAGCCATAATGAAGGTTGGGAGGTCTCAGGGCACATCCCTGGTGGCAGATCTGAGGCTCCCATCCCTCATTTCCCAGCTGGTGGATATTTAACTTCCCTCCTCTTATCAAACTGGGCGCAACAGGGGAGCAGAGATGATCTGGCACTGTTAATTTGAGCTGCTGGTCAGTCGCTTCTTGGAGCCTGGAGAAGGTCCAGTTGTGTTTTCACCTCCTTCTCTTCTGTCCTCAGGTATGAGCACAATAAAACTGGAAGCATCTTGATCAACAGCCTCTGTTTATCCAACGGAGGTAAGGTTTGTCCACTGTAACTGGGAGGGATGGGGATCCACGGGATGGTTTGGCCTTCCCATCGCCATCCCTGAGGTAAAGCACCACCTGAACCCCAAGCAAATTGCAATTAAAGTGCTGTAATTAACCGGGAGCATCAGTCCTCAGGCTGCCTCTGCCACCTTTCATGGTACCATGAAGATGGGGAGAGACTGGGAGATGCGAAGCGAAACATTTGTAGTGTTACAGCTCTGTTCTCTGATGTCTTTCCAGGGATATTCCCCGAAACGCACTACCCCCGGTTCATCCAGAAGGTGAGCTGCTGCCCCCTCCAGTCGCACCGAATCGCCCCTCAAGCAGAAATCTGACTCTGTGATTTGGGGTTTTACCTGGTTCGGGTGCCTGCTGCTTTTTTAATGGCACCGGAGCTGCTCAACAGGCATTGATGGAGGTGGTGGGGAAAGGCAGGGGCTGCCGGGATGCGGTTTGTTTCATCCAAATATCCCGGTTAATCACCCCTCGAAGCGCTGAGGTCTCAGCGCCGAGAGCTCACGTATACCTTGGCATTACCGAGGGTTGTGGATGAGGTGGGAAATTGCTGCGATATGGGGAAACGAGGGAAAAGCCCTCTTGGGAGGCAGGATTTACCCATCTATGTGATACCTCGGTTCAAGAAGGACAGGGAATTACTTGAAAGAGCCCAGCAGGGCCACAAAGATGCTGGAGGGAGTGGAGCATCTCCTGCTGAGGAGCGGCTGAGGGAGCTGGGGCTCTTGAGCTTGGAGCAGAGGAGCCTGAGGGGTGCCCTCATTCCTGGGGATCCATTTGGAAAGGGCAGTGTCAGGAGGAAGGAGCCAGGCTCTGCTCTGGGATGTCCAATGCCAGGACAAGGGGCAATGGTCCCAAGCTGGAGCACAGGAGGTTCAAGCTGAAGATGAGGCCAAACTTTGTGAGTGTGAGGGTGCAGAGCATGGCCCAGGCTGCCCAGAGAGGTTGTGGAGTCTCCTTGTGTGGAGACACCCAAAGCCCTGAGGTGTTCCTGTGTGACTGCTCTGGTGATCCTGCTCTGGCAGGGGTTGGACTGGGGGAGCTTTCCAGGTCCCTTCCAACTCCTAAGATTCTGTGATACCAAGTGGTGCTGTCTCCCTTTTCTCCTTCTGCCCAAGATCCTCAAGGATGGGGGTTTGCTGTCCCCCGTCATCACGCGGCTGATGAACTTCTTTTTCTTCTCCAGAGGGTGAGTCGTGTCTCTGTGCTGCTGGGGACAAGTCCGTACGGGGGGTGGGAGCCAAGCGGGTCAGGGGCCAACGTAGGAATCCTTGTAGTTGGTTTTTGGGAGGTGAGCAGATCCCTCAGCTCTGTGCCAGGAGAGATTTGCCCCTGGATTTGAATGACCTTGAATTTCTGGGCCATTTCTTCGCCAGGTTGGCAAAGTGCTTATAATAAACATTAACATAACCCAACATAACATATAACATAACATAACACGTAACACATAACATAACATATAACACATAACATAACATATAACA